AATCAACACCCAATGAGGCATCTCTTTCTATGACTCAGGGGTCAAGGAGGAGATGTCTACACACACGCAGAGTATTAATCCAGTGTAGAACGCCCAGCATATAGAATATGGATATGACCCTCTGGTTGGACTCCAGCTCCCATTCGCCACAGCCCAACTGCCGATTGACACAGGCCAACATCTGGTGGCATAAACCTTGGTCTAGAAAGCCCCTCACCCAGTTTGGCAGCTGTCCGTGGTACATCCAGACAGTGCCTGGTCGCAGGACTGACTGATGGAGCCACCAGAAGCTCACCAGGTGTGGGATGATGGTAGAATGTCTCTCATCACTTATGCGGCTGCCTTTCCTTGTGAGGATTCAAGCCATAAACTGTTGAAATAAGCCACACTTTCCTAGCAGTTAGGGATCTCCTAAACTTGGCATAGCTCGCAATCTCAGTCAATGCGGTTGTGTCAACGTGGTCCTAGAGGTGGGTCGACAGCAAAGGTTCCCCACCTTGGATCCCCAGATGATCCTGGACTACAACTCCCAGAAATCCTGTCCAGCACAGCTTGTGGGGAAGGCCTCTGGGAGTTTGAGTCCAAGAACATCTGGGGAACCCAAGGTTGGGGGCCACTGGTCTACAGACCCCATTGCTGTCCACACTGCAAGGGCAACGAACCAAGGAGTTCAGGGAACCTACGCAGAGCGTCGGTGCTAATGCCTCTCCTTTGCCATCACATCCATTTTAGAAGCAATATGGAAGCAGCATGGCAACAGAATGTGGAGGACTCCGCTCACAAGTACATGAAAATGGGAATGTAGATTCCAGTTTCAAGGGGGTAGTAAAATTGCTCCTGGTTTTAGTCCCAACTTTACAGGAGATCTCAACAGCGCTGGAGCCTAGACTCAAAGCAGCCTCTGCGCCTTGGGCAAACCCCTTAAACGTAGAGCTTAAGCCCAGAAGGGAATCCACCACCACCTCGTGAGATCAGAGCCTCAGCTTCCAAGGACAGAAGGTCCCCTCGCTCTCCCTAGGGTGGGCAGGACCGCAGGATCTCCCCATTCCGTGAGATTTCAGGACCCCAGGCTTGAGACCAGGGGAGACCCAGGCGAAGCAGGCAGCAGGATCGGTCCCTCTGCGGCAGGGCAGGAGAAGGCTCAGAAGGAGGCAGGCGACCAACACCCCGAACAAGACCCCCGTCCGGAGGAAAGAAGGGTTGGCACCAAAGGGGGGAGGGGAATGGATTGACTGCCTTTCCCCTTGTGGTTCGTGTGAAATGGCCTCTCTCTCCTGTGCCAGTGGTTCTGTACCCAAGGGGTGCCGAGCCTTGAAAGACCTCTCTCTAGCACTCTTGAGACGGGTCTCCCTCCATGGAAATCAGGGAAACACTGCCGTCCCCTGAGACTCCCGTCCACGCCCTCTGATTTGAGAGCCCATCGTCCTGCACCCAGGAGGTGTTCTGTAGTTGCGGATTTGCAATCAACATCAAGCCCCGTGTTATGATCAGACAGAGAGGGGTTTTAGACCCCCGTGAAAGCCCAAATGGCAATTTCAGGGTCAGCCCCCGTCAAGTGGAGCGGCTTCCTCTTTTCCATCATCAACGACACCCACGCAGCCTGATAGACACAGAAATCTCTCTCCTCTTGCATGGGACTTCCTCTGAGGGTTTTTTAAATGCTTTCTTACATGAAAGGGGTTGTTGCTTTTTTGCACCTGAAAAAAAACACAAAGAGGTAAAACCTCCCAAACTGGTTAGACACGATGTTATCTGAGAGGACATGTACCCACCCCCTTTCCGCTTTTTTAAGAGAAAGGAAGGTGTGTGGGTGTACGAGAAGGAGACCATGAAGTGGGGACTGGTGCTAGTCAGTGCTTTAATGATGATGATGATGATGATGATGTGATGTCAAGTCAATTCTGACTTATGATGAACCTTTTCCAGGTAGAGGGAATACCCAGAGGTGGTTTAGCCGTTCCCTTCTTGGACTGCGCAGCTTACCCAAGGAAACATAGGCTGGCTCTTCTCTCTGGAGGCCCGGTGAGGAATCGAACTCATAACCTCTGGCTCCGTAGCCAGAGATGTAAACCACGGAACGTGGCACAATGGCAAAGAAATGTCAACGTGTGAAGACATAAAATGGGCCCAATTCCAGAGGAACATTTGCCTCTTGGTGTCTGCGCATCGTGTTTGACTGAGCCGCCTGGAGCAGGAGATTTAGACGGGGACAGGATGAGAGACGGTAGACAGTTGTTCTCCTGTAGGCCAGCTGTGCATACACGGACTGAGGTGGAAATAGACAGGATACATAGCCCACCGCTCAATCTGAAAGCAGAGGATTTATTCCTTTTTAGTGACTAGCTGCAATTATCTTCCTTTCCTGCTGGCCCTTCCGTTCCTCCTAATATTGGTCTCTTTCTGCTGATGTCAACTATTGATCCATGGGCAAGCCCCACTCCTAGTGAGCAATATTGGAATATTGCTGGAGAAAAGCCCGGGAAAACAACCCCCTCCTGCTCTCTGGAAAGATGACTCTCCCCACAGGTGTTTCAAAGGAGCCCAAGGTTGGGTTCAGGTCTACATAGAAGCCCTCAAATGTAGGTGCGGGAAAGCCTTTTCGGGGGTGGGAGGGGTCCTGAGGAAAGCACTATTTCTCCCTTTCTTTATTTTCAACCTCCTCCAGACTTCTGGAAGGCCTCCCTCCCTCCAGACTGGACATTTTGGTGGTGGCGGGAACCCCACCACCACATTATGTTGTAAACTTGACATAGACAGGAGCCTTCCGACGCCTAGAGATCCACCCGAGCTTTATTTTTGTTGAATTTTCCTCTGCTCGCTGATCGTGGAGAAACCCGTTGGGTTTCAGAGCCCGTCGGCCAAGTTTCTGTTGGCTTTGGAGAATTCCCGCCTGGCCAGTATGTCCTCATTCTCGGAGAGCCCCTCCCAGCCTGCCTGGCCGTTCTATGGGTCACCCACTCTTCCTCCTCCAAGCAGGCAATGACTTTGCAAGGCCAGGGCCAAAAATCTGCAGACGGGGCTCCCCTACGATGCTCTACCCACGCTGCCTTTAAGGTGGATGGAAGGAAACATTGGATTCCGTTTGCACTGTCGGGAGACAAAAGACGTTCTAACCAAGCCGTACGGGGGACCTTTGAGCTGCGTCAGACTTTGAGAGCCTGCACTGGAAATGACACAGAGAAACTGAGGTGGGGACTGACGCAGGAAGAGGGAGGAATGCTAGTATTTTGTCCAACGCTTAAGGGAACCAACGTATGCCTTCCCATGCTCCGTCACACTCCTGGTTGTATGACAGATCACACCACTGCTTGTGCAACCAGCCTCACAACCAGCGCAAGACTGGACGTTCAACAGGAACCCAAGGGAGGGAGGAGAAGGCTTAGGCAATCTTCCTTCCATCATCACACAGCACAACAGGATCCTGGTTGCTATGTTTAGCCCCTCATGTCCATCCTACAGGCATCTCGAATATTCGTCCATCCTGGGGCGAATGTTTTGCGCCGGATGAGAGACCATCCACGAATTTGCAAAACCGCCCAGTGGGACTCTCGCCCCAAGCCTCAGGCCCTCCCCTCCCATCAGCGAGGTGGGGATAATTACACCCTCCCTCGCAGCAGAGTCGCCGGAACGGATTGCCGAGATAATATCTGAAGACTGCTGTGAATGCAAATCAATCACTTGACGTTGACTTCACGGTAACATTGACCTTCATGAGTTGGCTGCAAAAGTCAGACTGGAGTTTTAAAAATAGCTGCACTCACTCATGGCCGGTAAGAGAGAGGAAGCACATAGGGACCCCTAGCAGACAGGGAATGGCCACCCTGTGATGGACCAGGGGCAACCAAACCCGGCGTCAACCCCTGGGCCAGGATGGATCCTTTGAGACAAGCTGGGTGAACTCTCTGGTTCAAATGGCCTTTAACAGTGGAAGCTTAAAAAATCAGCAAATAAAGACTGTTTCTTGCAATCAATGGATCAATAAAACGCTGGCGACTGTCTCACTCAGCATTCCCATAATAACACATCTGTGAGTTTCCACCCCCCCTCATCACATGGACCAACCCTCCGTGTTACAATGCAATCAATGGATCAATAAAACGCTGGCGACGGTCTCACTCAACATTCCCATCTGTGATTTTCCCCCCATCACATGGACCCACCCTCCATGTTACGATAAACAAGCTTCTGGTAACAACAGCATTCGTTGCTTGCGGTTTATTTTGAGCACGTCCACAAAGGTGAAGCCATAAATAACAAAGAAATATTCTGAAACTTTACAAAGTGTCACAAACATACCAAACTCCAAAACGACGTCTCACACTGTTTTAAAATATACAACACGGCGGCTTTGTCTTGCCTGCAAGTTCGCAACAGTGCTGGTTTTAGAAGCGTGGGTGACAACGCACAGCAAAATCACGTCATGCCACGGTTCCAGGGGAGCAATGGAGCCTGCGAACAGGTTTGTCCTAAAAGAGAGATTTTGCCACCTCACAATGAATAAAATGTCAGGTTATGGAAAATATCTTTGTCTCTAATTCTCCTTGCAACGTTAGATAAAAGCACAGCGAACAACAAGAGAGCTAAGCTACTTTGGAAGAAGCTGAAGGGAGAGAGGCTTTGGCGATTGGTCCATAGGGCATGAAAAATGGAATACAGTGGTGCCTTGCTAGACGATGATAATCCGTTCCACTGAAATCGCTGTCTAGCGAAATCATTGTCTAGCGAAAAGCAAATCATCGTCTAGCGAAAATCGGTTTGCGAAGCACGGACCAAACATTGTCCAGCGAAATTCCCCCATAGGAATCACTGTTTTGCGAATTGCTATAGCGGGATAACTGTCTAGCGAGGCACCACTGTATCTTAACGATCAGAAAACATCATACTTGCCAGTTGGGGGGGGGAAGGCTCACACCCACTGGTGATGCTCACACATTCTGTTCGAGAATGCAACCCAAGATGAAAGCAGGGACCAAACATTGTCCAGCGAAATTCCGCCATAGGAATCACTGTTTTGCGAATCGCTATAGCGGGATAACTGTCTAGCGAGGCACCACTGTATCTTAACGCTCAGAAAACATCATACTTGCCAGTTTGGGGGGGGGAGGCTCACACCCACTGGTCATGCTCACACATTCTGTCCGAGAATACCACCCAAGATGAAAGCACATCAAACGCACCCTTTCAGAAAGGTTTGCATGGCATCAGACATCTCAGCTCACAAGCCCACCCCCCCAGAACACAGTTCGAACGCCTCCCTTTTTAGAAAGTGCAATCATGAAAAAGAAGAGCTTCATCTCTTAGAAAGCAGAGGAAAACAAACACACAAGTGCAGGCACTCTGCAAGTGGCTGGCAGGATTTTCATACGGAGGAAACCCTGCTTTTTGCTCCCTGAGCAGTAAGTGCCGTCCGTCCATGTAATCAAAACCCGCCTCTATCCTTTTACAAAACCCACCCTTGTACAAAATCTGCTGACAATTTTCTTACATGTGAAAAATAAGAATTTCTGGGTGGCGCAGAAAGCGACTCCCCCAGAGTTACGCCCACAAAGCGAGCCGTGCTTTGCGCCTCCTGAGAATAACTTTGGAAGATCTCTGTTTTCCTGAGACATCCCGTAACCCTGCACGATTACAGACGGACATCTCTTCTTGGCCTCGCTGGCATCATCATATTGCATCGGAAATACAGCAAGGGTTCTACGTCAGGTGAGATGCTCGGGAAATTCAGACAGTATTTAGTGCAAGAAGCTTATAGAGGATATTTCTGTGGATTGGGGGGGGGGAGAGGACCTTTTTTATATAGAATTAGTCATTCAAGAAATATGACTGTGGAGCACAGATTCCAAGTTTTTGCAATGCACACAGATTCTGCTTACGATATGTTTTAGAAAACATTTATGGGACCCTCTACACCAGGGTGCAATTTAAAAAAACAGATTTGGCCACTGCTCAGTGTGGCAGGCATGGTGAAGGTTGGAAAGAGAGAGGCAGAAGTAAGGAGGGGGGATCGGCATGCCTGCTGGGAATCTCACCTGCCGTTCCAGGGCCCCTTCCCCTTTTAAGGCACATTTCCATTCCCTTTCCTAACCACGATAACAAGATTACGTCCCGTGGGGAAAATGGAAATAGGAGCCAAAACTCATTTCCACGTCAGAATTGTACACCTTGTGATGGTCGGTCGTATGGGTCTAAAGAGCCAGGATCTAAAGAACATGAAGGGAATTCCGTGGAGAAAGAAGAGGGTGTCCATTTCGAACAGATGTTTTGACCTGCAGTCCTCCAGAGGCTTCTGTAGACTCCAACTCCCATCACCCACAACTTTTGGCCACACTAGCTGGGTTGATGGGCATTGGAGTTCAACCACTTCTGAACCGCCATGAAATTACACCTGAAATTAAAATCGTACACATAGGACTAGGTCTCTTTAAAAAAAGCAAAACAATTTTCAGAGCAGATAACACTGTAGAAAAACATTACTCTTTTGGCAAAGATTGGCAGCCGTGGCTGTTGTGGGTCTGATCAAAAGCTGGGCTCCTTCCCCTCTCCAACGTGAAAAAATGCCGAGGCATATTTAAAACAGAGAGGCGAGTGCTTTCAGAAGGCAGGCGAGGGCGAAAAAACCTAGCCAAAGTCTCTAGAAACAGAAAGAAAAGAGATCTTCCTGACTTCATAGGTTCAGGATTTCTCTTCCTTTGTTGACCAAGGGGTGGATCAGTAATCTTGGGCTGATCTGTTGTCCGTAAGAGGCCTTCATACCTTCCAAACCAGAATATGCACCTAGGGCGAATCTGCCACGGCCAAGGACAGGCGCTGCAGCCGTTCCCCTCCGTACGTGATCTTCTTCATGGATTCTCCCAGCCTCCATGGGGGAACAAGATCTCATGAGCCAGACAAAACCCTTGGACACCCATCCAACAGGCAGGAAAAGTCAAGGCCGAAAAGCCGCCCGGCCGCCTCGGGTGCAAGACCTTTTCTTCCCCCACACCCAACGACTAAAATGTGCCAGGCATGAAGGCAGGGGTCAAAGAAAAGCCCATTGGCCATACAGTCAGATCCTTGTCCGGCACGGTGACATTCTCAAGGAGATTTTGAAGGAGTGGTGGAAGCAAAGACAAGACAGGTGTGTTGACACAAGATCCGGAGGGGCTCGGTGCTCAGTTCAGGATTCGTGGGGAACCACAGTGGTTTGTTTACAGTTTCCAAGAAAGCCACTGTGGCTCATTCTAGGCTCCATTCGGCCAGCCACTCCTCACACTTGCCCTGTGACTCTTTGGCCTCCGGGCTCTTGGCCCGCGGGGGCGTCTCAAGATCTGGGCTACCCGCCCCGTCCTCGGCCGGCCGGCCTTCCTCTTCCGCCTGGACGCTCTCATCTTTCAGCTCTTGGATCAGCTTGTCCAGCTGGCGCATGGCTTCCTGAGGGGACCAGTTGCTATCCAAGGTGGGGACGAAGGGATCCGGCGCGCTCACCTCGATTAACTCCTTGGTGGTCGGGATGCGCAAGTAGTAAGCGTGGAGCATCATCCGGTAAGGACCGCCGTCCTTCTTAAAGCTGTAGGTAAAGTCACCCACGATGGGGTGACCGATGGCACTGCAGTGGACCCGGAGCTGGTGGGTTCGTCCTGAGGAGGGGAAAGGAAGCACAGAACAATCTAGTTTCTACTTAATTCTGGAGAGAGAGAGGCTAATACAGCTGGTTTAGATGCACTGTTACACACCAAGGGATAATGAAATTATTAGAAATGAGATTTTCAGATTTATTTATTTTTTGGGATAATGAAATTATTAGAAATGAGATTTTCAGATTACAGTGGTGCCTCGCTTAACGACAAATCCGCATAGCGATTTGTTTTTTGCGATCGCAAAAGGGATCGCATTGCGATTTTAAATGGTGAAAAATCGCTTTGCGACGATCGGTAAGCTGTTTTGCTTACCGATTTCTGCATAGCGATGTTTTTAAAACAGCTGATCGGCGGTTCCAAAATGGCCGCCGGGGAAAAAATGGCCACCCGCTGTTTTCGCGCACATTCCTCGCTTACCGGGCAGCGAAAATGGCGGCCGCATAGAGGATTTTCGCATAGCGGTGTGTTTTTTGCCCATAGGAACGCATCAAACGTGTTTTAATGCATTCCTATGGGCTTTTATGTTCCGTATAGCGACGATTCCACATAGCGACGATTTTTCCGGAACGGATTATCGTCGCTATGCGGGGCACCACTGTATTATTATTTTTTTGGACCACAGACCCCATCCTTCTCCATTCCAGGAGCCCCACCCGATGTACAGACACCTAAATGTGTGTACAGGCCTAAACTGGAAGGCCTTTGAGGGCCCTGCTAGGCCTAGCTCTGCCCAAGCTTCCTGCTCAGAGGGAAAGCTCCCAGCTTGCACTGGGGCAGGAACAGGAAGCTTGGGTGGAGCTAGGCCTAGCTGCCTTCTAGTTAAGGCCTTCCTCCTCCCAGATGAGCCACATTTGGGTGTCTCTCTCTGTCAGGATGGAGAATTATGAGATGTGTAGCCCATGAAATCCAGAAATCCCATCCCAAGAAAAAAAGCGCCATACTAAGAAACAATAGACAAAATTGTTTCCTCTATCCAGGGTGTTTCTTTTTTTTTTCAGATTAAGGATTATAAATATTGAATATGTCTTTTTCAAACACACAGGCCTTCCCTCAACTTCCAATAAATCCTTCTCCCTCTCTCCCTCTCCCTCTCTCTCCTGCTAGCTCACAACCCAGCCCTTTGGAAACATGAACTGATGAAGTTGCCCTTCCTTCTGCCTTCAGAAGGAAGCTGGCTTGGTCGACATCCTTGCAACCCACAGATATTTTGCACTGCCCAGGAAAGTTTCAACCGTTCCCAGCTTGCACTGGGGCAGGAACAGGAAGCTTGGGTGGAAGCTAGGCCTAGTTAAGCCTCGTCACCTTCTAGTTAAGGCCTTCCTCCTCCCAGGTGAGCCACATTTAGGTGTCTCTCTCTGTCAGAATGGAGAATTATGAGATGTGTAGCTCTTGAAATCCAGAAATCCCATCCAAAAGAAATAAACCCCATACTAAGAAACAATAGACAAAATTGTTTCCTCTATCCCAGGTGTTTCTTTTTTTTTCAGATTAAGGATTATAAATATTGAATATGTCTTTTTCAAACACACAGGCCTTCCCTCAACTTCCAATAAATCCTTCTCCCTCTCTCCCTCTCCCTCTCTCTCCTGCTAGCTCACAACCCAGCCCTTTGGAAACATGAACTGATGAAGTTGCCCTTCCTTCTGCCTTCAGAAGGAAGCTGGCTTGGTCGACATCCTTGCAACCCACAGATATTTTGCACTGCCCAGGAAAGTTTCAACCGTACCTAATTCAATGCCAGAGGAGGCAGATTTTTTTTTTATTTTTTATTTTTTTACCCGTGAGTGGCTGCAGCAGCACCTTCGTCACCGGGTCGCCAGAATACAGCCCACGTTCAAGTACGGTCAGCTCCGACTGGCAAGGTTTCGGATTTTCACAACCTGTTTAAAAGGAGAAATCAATATGGTGAAGAAAAAGGAGCACAGCAATGCAGGGATCCTCTTGGTATTCAGGCCAGGTTTGCATAATATGCTGCCGCCAATTGCAGTTAACTGATGAGCTGTCAACAGAGACAGGGATTTCAGATTTTCTGGACTATGCACCATCGGCATGTCAGTTTTTTTAACTCCTGTGGATTTTGTTCAGTGAAAGCAATGGAAACTCCCTCCTTTAACCAAAAGTCGCACCCTACCTTCGGTCCCTTCAATACACATCATGTGAGTCAAGCCCTCCGTCATGTTCTTCCCGACGGCGTAACGGATTGTCATCTTCCCCTCCTGTACGTGCCCCCTCACCTGCCAAGAAAGAGCATATATCGTGTAGTGCTGCCCTGCCAAAAAACATCACTCAGACTCAGTGTACCCAGCTGCAAAATATGAATACAGCAGGACTGTGGTATCCGCAGGGGGTCGGTTCCCACGAATGCCGAAAACGCAGAAGTATTGAACACTTTACATTGAACTGTCTCTTGTGGCTGCTTCTGATAAATATATCCTGGTAATGCAGAGAAATACGCATTTCTGGGGATCTTTATTTAGTATTCTCAGACAGTGGATAAGTGAATCAGCATGATACTGATTCCGCAGATAGGGGGGTCCTGCTATAATCAATAGTGCGTGGGTACCCTCTGGCTGCAGAACTTCCGTGTACCTGCACCACCTGGCGGGAACTATGACAAATTCCAAAATATTCGGAGAATGGGCACCACACCAATTGAATGAGACTAGGGGAAAAAATTACTTTTGCTTCTTTCTTTCTCCTGGAAAAAAAAAACTATAAAGGACACACACATCTGTGAAGTGACCTCCCTGGTTTACTTTCAGCTGCGCACGCCGATTCCCTTCATTAGAGTTTTACTGTGTCTCCCAATTTCATGTTTTACGTTAGCGCAACACCCAAAAACAATGGTGGTCATTTGGCGTTGCCAAGGCAAGCCAACGCGAAGCTCGGACCTGAGGTGCAAAGGGAACCAGGCAGGGCAAAACCTACTCCAAGCTGCATCAGGATCCACCCCAAACCCCCAAACTAAACTCCAGGTCAACTCGGGGGACCCAACGCACAGCCTTAGATGTCGACACCTCTTAGCTTTCCTCTCTTTTGACACGTCTTCTTTCAGCCACGTTCTCGACGTGTGTCACGCATTTCTTCAAAGATTCAGCCGCTCCGCAGTTCAATTATTTTTATATTTCCGGCCGCTGATTGGCACGGTTTCCTCGTGAGCAGAACCCCGTTAATCACTGTCTCCTTTGCAGAAGCCGGGAGAGACATAATCGGCTTTCTGTTTAGCCCCAGGGAGGATTTTGGCTACAGCTGGTCCGATTGGCGCCCCCAGACCGACTCAGGACCTCTCGGCCGCCCTTTGGTCTCCTCGTGCTCAGCAAAACCACTTAAATAAAACCACGAGAGACTGAGAAGAGGGGCCCTCTTAATTCCTTGCATGCGGAATTTCAACCCCAGGGCACCGATCAGTCGATGGAAGACAGAAGGTCAGAGGTGTCCTTCGGATCAGAACCCGAAAATAACTTCTCTAAGTCATCCATTCCCAACACGCACAACGTTTGAAAACTAGTTTGTTCCAAGGATGAAAAAGTAATTCGCTAGGCAATTTTTTCCTTTTCTTTAACTGTGACTTTATGCTTTAAACCCTGGATTTAAAAGGACGGTATGGCACTTCCACTGCGAAGATCCACTGAAAATAACTTCCAGAATTAACGAAGAAACTTTACTTTCTGTTTACTTGCTGCATTCTTTCTGGAGTAGAACTCTGTTCCCACCCACCTTGTCATCCCCCCCCCACCCAAATAACTAGTTAAAAATATCTCGTTCTACTGCATTCCTTCTGGATCATCCAAAAGGATTGAATTGACTCATTTCCTCTGGGGGAAAACCCAAACACGGAGATAAGAGAGGCCTAGGTCAGGAATGGGGGGCTCAAGTTGCAGGACCCATTGCCAAGTCAAACTCGTGTTTTTCCCCCCCAATGACACAGACTCGACCCGGATCCCACCCAACCACTCCTTCCCTATTTCTGCAGGAAAAGAGAGGCCTAGGTGAGGAATGGGGGGCTCAAGTTACAGGACCCATTGCCAAGTCGGATTCGTGTTTTTTTCCCCCCAATGACACAGACTCAACCAGGACCCCACCCAACCACTCCTTCCCTTTTTCTGCAGGGAAAAAAAAGCTTTATTAAAAACATTTTAATAGAGACCCAGATTTGGGGCTTGGGACTCAGTACCAAAGACTTAGACTCGGAATTCGAACCCGGAACCTTGCTAACATCTGTCTTATGTGTGCCAACAGTAGGTATTGAGGCTCAGGGTCCCCAATGAGGGTAATACGTCTTTGAGGAGGAGGATGCTAAAAAGGCGCATTTTCAAAAAAACGATCTGTGCTCCTTTTCTCTTTCCAGTTAAAGGATGCCGCGCTGGCTTCACACACACACACACACGCACCCATAGTGACTCGTGGCAAAACTCCTCTCCTTTTTCTCTCCATCTGCCTTGTTTTCCTCCTTAATACTTTTTAAACCCAGCCCTTCTGACCGAGGGAGATGTTAAGCCAGGGAGGGTTAAACCCGGCTTCCACCCGGCCAACGGCTGGGTTATCGTGCGTGGCAGTGGGGCAGTCGGAAGCGACGAGGATAAACGCTGACCCTCGAACAGCATCTGCTTCCCTCCCCATAAGGGCTTTGGGGTTCATCTCGGGACGCGGCTGCTGCTCCGGCCAGAAACGGGTCATCAAAGTGGCAGCAAGAAGCTGGAGGTCGGTTGGTGATGCTCATGCAGAAGGCTGCCAGTCCTGTCCCTCAGCCTCTCCGGGGAATTCTGCTTGAAATCCTGGAAAGGCCACGCTGCCGGGCGCAAGCAGCAATGTTGGGATCCCGAGGACCGGTCGCCTGCTTCCCCATCCAGCTGCTTTCTGTGTTCCGGTGTAGCTTCCCAAAATTATTTTAGAGATGTGCCTTTCTGGTTTTGGGGAGCAGCAGTCTCTTAACTCTCCTTTACGGGAAACTCGCTTGCAGGCCTGACGGGTGCGTAAATTGCGCTCGCCTGGACAGAAGGCCCAGCGAGTGAGCTTCCTGCCCTGGATGGACCTCACTTCCTGTTTGAAAAGGAAGCTGCCTCCGGTGTGGGGGTGGGCTACCGGGATGCTTTAAAAGGTAGCAATGCGCTGCTGAGACGGACACTGTTTTGTTAATTTGAGAAACTGATATTTCAAAATTAAATAAACAAACGTGATCACTTACGAGGGCGAGGTACGCTTTGGTGACCCTCCGCTCCTTGAAGCATTTGTACGCACTGCCAGCGGCTGCCTTGTTGAGCGCGACGCAAAGGGCCCCACTGGTAGAGAAATCCAGTTGGTGGCAAAAGCTTGGGAAAATAATAATATGATGATGACGACAGCGATGACACTTTTGTCACAAATACAGCCTCTCAACCCTGGAGGCCAGAATTGCTCCATAAAACTATGGATTTGGCAGGGGGGGGACAAAAATCCCACCCGGCTGACCTCTTGTTTCTGTGCTTTAAAATATTGCTCTACCACACTTTATAAAACAGATGTCACAGTAGCTGAAACAATAAAGTAATTGCAATTACCACCCCACAGACACAAAGATAGAGATGGAGAGAGAGAGAACGGGGAAGGAGTGAGTGGCAAACCCCACAGACACAAAGATAGAGATGGAGAAAGAGAGAACGGGGAAGAAGTGGCAAACCCCACAGACACAATTTACACTGACAGAGGCACTCACAAACGTCAAATCGATTTGCCACCCACGTAAATATAAAAAACCCTTTGGCAGAAGAGTACAGTGCCTTCTTTCCAATCAAATTAACACGATTCCCTGTCAAAACTATCCACACTTTAAAAAACAACAACACACCAGCCAATTCAAAGCATGCTCAACCTAATTCAAATACAGTGTGTGTCTGTGTCCACCCCCCAGTGTAACCACACTTGAAGGCGAGGGAGAGCGAGAGAGGTCTTTTTGCTCACCGAAAGCCATAGTACGTGTCTGGGTCGGCTAGCTCGGGAAAGCGGTACTTCAGCTGGCTCTGCAGGGTGAGTTTCTCGTACCACATCTTGCTGTCGATGCGCACATCCCAGTGTTTGTTGACCACAATGAAGTCGGGGCTTTGGTACAAAATGGAAAGGTTGTCCAGGCTGACGGGCTCCATCGTGGCCGGCCCTTGAGAGAGAGGGAAAAAAAGACTCTACTAAAATTAAGTTTTCACAGCTTCGGGTGCACTTTTTTTGTGTACAAACTTATTTTCAAAAGCACAATATTGTGAGCATCTCACCTCCAAGGTCTACCTCCTACCTCCACTATTATTGACTTGATAAATATCAAAACACTATTATTTATCGCTAACAGAAAAACAAGCCTTCGGAGCTGTGTGCCTTTCTCCGTTAAATCCGCCTCTCAGCTCCCCTTTCAAAAACATAGAAATCTGCAAGACATCATAGGATGAAGCACTACGGCCAATTTACTCTTGCGTAAAAGAAATCTCACGAAGGCTTGGAAGCCAATGGTTATTCGCCTGCAAGGTGCAAGTTGGAAGCACACCTTATTTCTGCGCGGCTTTCCAGCATGTTCCAACATCACGTTTACCTCGCAGAGGACATGTGAACGTATACCTTGAGGGCCAGTGTGGACGGTGTGTCAGACTGGGATGCAGGGGACCCGAGTTCGAATTCCCACCCAACCACAGAAACTCACTGGGAGTGTGGGGAAACATCTTGAACATCTCATATATCTCAAAAACCCTCTTAGGGTTACCATCAAGAAGGCAGGTCTCGTGCGTTTTCCTTCTGCCTCTCTGTGTGCATGTACTGTTCATATCGCACGCATAACTACGGTTCACTGCTTTCAAGTTTTCATCTGTGTATCCGTTTACAAATCCTTGCAAACAGGTGAATCAACCACTTGCAGTTTCCTAGCAGGCTGCAAGCTTCCAACTATTCTTTTCGTCAACCTTACCTCCCCCCCCAAAGACTCCAGTTTTAACCACCCTTCGGAAGAGAGACCTCAGAACAAAAAGGGCAGGAAAGATGTGCTTAAGGGCTTCGGGGTGGGGGGGTGAGTGCTGAAGTCTGGAAATGGGGGTGTTCTTTATTTTTAAAAAAAAAAACACCATAGAAGTGAAAAATGCAGGCTGATGGAGAGCAGTCTGCATCCACCAAGGAGCAGCCGGTCTTTTGTAAAGTTAACGGCTCTCAGTGGCTGCTGCAAACACTCTGAAATGCAACAGGGATAGCTGGCGACCCTCTTTGGAGAGTTCGCTTTCTCTCCCAGCTAAAGGGAGGGTTGCAGTTGAATTCTGCAGGAACAGAGAGAAACCTGGGGGGGTGGGGTGATGATGGATGCTACCAGGGAACCCTGTCAATCAGGGCTTTGATCCTGCCACCCCTGTTTCCACGACAACACAATCAGCGTAATAAGACGATGGGGAGAACAGACGGAGCATCTGAGCGACCCTCTCCAAGTTAGCTGGAAAAAAATTCTTTATTTTATTTTATTTTATTTAAAATATTGTTACTCCGCCTCTCTCCTTAATAAGGACTCCAGGCGGCTTGCATTCTGGAAAGGAGACCTTGCAAAGTGAAAACAACCAGCATGCAAGGAGTACAAAAATTGCAACGCCCACGCCCGCCTTCCTGGATGCGCGCAGGCGGGCACGCGTACACGTGTCCATGCATGCATTCATGCATGCACGCATGCATTCATGCATGCACACACCTCTCCTCTTGCACACACACATGCAAGCCCCCCAGAAACACCCCCCCCTTTTTGCAAGGAACGGCGCCACCGACCTGCTGCGCCAGGCGCGCCCCCGCGCCAGCCTTTCCTCCTCCCGGGCCCGAGCGCGTGTCGGGGGCGAGCATCCGGCCAGCCAGCCAGCCAGCCAGCCAATTTCCTCCGGGAGCGCGCACGAGACCTTCACCCGGAACTGGATTTCCCGCCCGCGCGCGCGCGCCTCTTTTTGCAAAGCGAGGCGGCGAGCGAGCGAGCAAGCAGGAGCGCGCGCACCGGGGTTGGCTTTGCAAAAGTTTCCGCCGCTGCTGCAAAACAAGGTGGAGAAGAAGAAGGAAAAAAAAAGGCTGGGCGTTTGCAAAGGAGGCCGGCCTCGTAGAGCTGCTTCCTCTGGGGTTTTTTTTATTATTGCTATTATTGTTATTATAATTCCCCCCCCCCGCGCGCGATCGCGCTCTTTCCAGGTCGTCCTACCTCGCCGGGGTGGCCGCGGATGGAAGAAGAAGGAGGAGACCCCCCCGAGCTGCGCGGGGTGGAAGATGACTTCGAGCACCAGTTTGCGGAGGAGTTG